AAATTATGTGGCTGTAGGTTCAATATTTATATCACATGGTTATGTTCCTCGAGTGTGAAACAAAGTTTTGTAGCCACCTCTAAAGAACGGCTTACTGGAGCATTATCTTATTTTTTAAATCAGCAGTCTGTTTGCCAGGGCCCCCTCCTTTCACAGCTGTACTTTCTCACCACCGATGGTTCCTGAATGGCCTTAGACGTCACTGTCTTGCCAAGAAGCTCTTTCCCTAATGCAGGCAGTAGCTATGCCAAGGACTGGATGAATAGCTGGAGAATGAATCATTTTCATCCCTGAGAGAGATTCTTGATCTTGCCTGTCATTACCCTTAGAACCAAAATTATGCATGAGGGCCATATTTTAGGAGATCAAGAATTATGGAAAAGTGATCCAGTATAAGAAATAAAGGCGTTTCCCACTGCATCTTTGATGACTCCAGGGTTGGAGCTGCATGTGAGTTACAGGTGTAGCTGCGGTGTAAGAGCAGTAAATGCTCCAGAGGCGTTAACTGTGTGCGGGCCCCGCTACCTGCCATTTAATCCTCGCTGCAGCCAACTGAGTCTTCCGGAGAGCTCAGAGAAGCCTGGGAGGAAGCCTGGACAGTAAGTAGTAAAGCTGTTTCCATTCAAATCCAAGATGGTTCCCAAGGCCTGGGCTCTACCACCTCTGGGAAAGTATATGGAAAAAGCCTTTAAATCTTCAGCTCTCTATACCTGGCTTTCCTCAGCCATAAAATAGAGATAATTATGCCTTAAGTGTTGTTGAATGGGTTTAATCAAATAATGCTTGGTAGAATCTGAATCTGCAGCCAGTCTTGATCTTATGTAGTACTTGGAAAGCTTATAAAAATAATAGCAGGATTATAGAACGACTCAGGTGGTGCTGGAATTTGAATTCAAGCATGTTTGGCTTTTGGTTTAATGCACTTGATTTGTGCCTGGCAGTGATATGAACCTTTTCCATGAATTAACTCATTTAACCCTCACAGCTACCCTATGAAGTAGGTACTGTTTTCTTTGTTTTACAAGCAAGGCAATTGGATTTAGAAAATTAAGTAATTTGGCCTCAGTCATACAACTAGTAGATGACAGAGCTGGGGTTTGAACCCAGGCAGTCTGGCTCCAGAATGCCATCCCTGCCAGAGTGGCACTAAGGGAAGCAAGCTCTTCAAGGAGCTAGGTTACTGTTCTAGTGGGCTGGCTTGTTTCATGTATCTCGGGAATGTGACATCAGTGAGCTCTCATGTATCAAAAAGATACCGTAACAAAAGTGCCTGCCCTGGTGATAAAGAAGCTGGGAGCTAGGCCAAATCCTGTCACTGTTCTTACCCAAGCACCATCTGATGATGGCTGGGTCAGAGCTTGAAGACATTGAGACCCATGGCTGCCCACCGACCGAGCGCCTCGTGCACTCGCTGTAGGAAGTGTGAAGGCTTCTGCGTGAAGGCTGTGCTGCATCCTCTTCAGCTATGGTACCCCTGCTACAGAAATCCTCAAGTCATCCCCCATTTCAAAGATGGGGAAATTGAGGTTTTGAGGTAATGTTTTTCTCCTAAAGGGAAATGCCAGGACTTTATCCTAGGTCTCAACACGCAAAATAGAGTATTTTTTTTTTTTCCACCAAAGCTAGAGATAAACTAAGGGGCAGATTTTTACATACTTTCAAGAGAAGTTTTTAAAAGCTGTGTAAGAATAGAATGGGTGGCATTAGGAGATGAATTGTCCATGTTGGATGTGTTTAGCAGAGGTTGAACAGGCTCCTGACAAGTTTCTTGCAGAGAAATTCAAGCCTCTATATATAAGAGATTGGACTCAACCTTTTAAGTTCCTTTGAGGGGCACCTGGGTGGCTCAGTGGGTTAAAGCCTCTGCGTTCGGCTCAGGTCATGATCCCAGGGTCCTGGGATCGAGCCCCGCGTTGGGCCCTCTGCTCAGCGGGGAGCCTACTTCCTCCTCTCTCTCTACCTGCCTCTCTGCCTACTTGTGATCTCTGTCTGTCAAATAAATAAAATCTTTTAAAAAAAATAAATTCCTTTGAATGTTAATTAAAAAATAAAAAAAAAATTTAAATAAAATAAATTCCTTTGAAAACCCTGAATTATCAGATTCTGTGAAACATGAGACTGAATTCATGGTAATACCAAGGCTGGAACCCAGGCCTCCTGCTTTTCAGTCCAACATGGTTTCCGTAACGGGTCTGTTGTTCTGTGTAAGTGGTCTCCCATGTATCCAGCAGTCAAAGCCAGAAACCTGTGTGTCACACTGGACTCCTGTACCCCTCAGATAAACAGAGCCATCAGATAAACACCCCTCAGATAAACAGGCCCTTTAGATTCTGCTTCCTTAAATATTTCTTGACTCAATCTTCTTCTCATACTCGGTTTCTATCCTAGTGCAGAACACCATCATCTCCTAAAATGTGGCATTAGCCGCTTAAAGATCTTGCCTCAGATCTGCTCCCTTCAGCCCATTCTTCACACAGCTTGCAGAGTGATCTTTCTAAAACCCAGATCTGTTCGGGCCATTCCCTTGCTTAGTCCCTTTGACTAAGGCCCACTGCTGGCCCCAGAATTAAGTCTAAAGTCCTGTTCTCAAAGGCTCTTCATGCCTCTGTCCTCTCCAGCCTCATACTGCCTGTGCCACACATTCTGTGTACTTCTCTGGCAATAGAGAATTCCTGTAGTTATGCCCAACACTCACCAGGCTGTCTTGTCTCAGACCTTTGGACCTCCTGAGCCCTGAAATATATTCCTCAGAGGGTCTCCTGTGGCTTCTTCTCATTCTCCAGGACTGAGCCTCATTCTAGAAGGTATTTTGTGTCTCCTGTGGGCTTGGCGCATTGCCTCTGTGTTCTGACAACCTTTTGTATGTTCTTGAAGCATATTTATTTAATATCTGTTGCAGGTTCACAAATGGAAACCTGTTTTAAAGAAAGGTAGGCAGGAAAAAAGGAGTCAAGTTGGCCTGTCGGAAGGTAATAGAGACTTCCATTGTCTTCAGTCAGGGTGAGAAGGTAGTTGCTCTTCAGCTCTGCTCAGTGGTTTCTAAGTGTGGGTCTGGTGATATCAGATCTTCTGGTTCTTCCAGAAGAGCCAGAAATCTGCATTTTCATGTAAAAAAAAGCCCAATTAAAAAATAAATGAGGGGCGCTTGGGTGGCTCAGTGGGTTTTAACCTCTGCCTTTGGCTCAGGTCATGATCTCAGGGTCCTGGGATTGAGCCCCACATCGAGCTTTCTGCTCGGCGGGGAGCCTGCTTCCCCCTTTCTCTCTGCCTTCCTCTCTGCCTACTTGTGATCTCTCTCTTTATGTCAAATAAATAAATAAAATCTTAAAAAATAAACGTTAAGGTTATCCTGAGATAAAACTGCTCTCCAGGTAGATTTGTGGCAGTTTGCAATGTCCGTACCATCACCATATGTTTACAAGTCTGTCTCTTCCAACTGAGTCCCTGCACAGTAAGAACACGTGTGTGGTATCCCCAGCACAGTGACAGGCACATACCAGGTGGGAAAAGAGTGAATGAGTCTATGAATCCGGAACAAACTTAGCAGTACCATGGCATCCCTGCAAAAGCCAGCCCTGGGAATTCAGGTTTCCAAAAGGACTTTATATTTGGCTTTGACATGATTGACTTCTGCAAAGAGAATTATAGGGCGCACAGAAAGCATTTGGTAGAATTCTTGTCTTAGGAACCACTCAAGCTAGAAGAAATTAAGTGTGGGCAGAGTGAAGGCTGTGCTACCTGCAAATCAAATCAAAGGGCTTAATGATGAAGACATGGGACTAAGTGTATTGTCATGCGGAAAAACAGCTTCTCTCCAGGTTCTATCCATTTTCAGCAATAACCATGTAGAACAGATTCAGAAATAGGAGCTATTTATGAGCAGGTTCTATACAAAGTTTAATGATCTCAGTGCCAGAGATTTCTGTCTCTAAGAAGTTTGTGCTAAGTTCTCTCTGATGTGGAGACAACTTGCTTAGGAACACGGATTACACCCACACCTAGTCCAACACCCACTGGATGTCTAACTTTACATTTCACTTAACAAAAAAGTCGATTGCATCAATAGAGAAACAATCTGAATTTTATCAAATACCCTCCTAGCTACATAGGTGCCTGGCTTTTTGAGCTGATATCTAGAAAGATCCTGTATCTGCCAACTAGCTGGTTGCAGAAAGGGCACTAAACAGGACTTGCCCAGACCTCTAGGCTGGGAGTCAGGTCTGTGAGGATCTTACTTCCATGGTAAGTGTTTTGGTTTTTTTTTTCCTCAAACTCTACGCCCAATGTGGAGCTTGAACTCCCAACCCTGGGATCAAGAGTCATATGCTCTACTGACTGAGCCAGTGAGGTACCCCATTTCCATGGGCCTTTTAAGGAGGTGTATAGTAGAAAGAGATCAAGACACAGCATCAGGTTCTATTCTTGTCTCTGCCACTTCCTTGCAGGGTGAACTTGGAAAGATCTCTTTGCTTTCCATTCCAGTGGTCTTTGCTCACCTTTTCTTGCCAAGCCCCATCTTAAGTTGCTGTTCAGTCTGTGGACTGGCTGCATAGTCAGATGCCCAGTTGGGCCAAGCCTGTGACAGGATCACATGGAGCAAAAACCAGCTTTCTGTGGCTGTGACTTCAACAAGGGCTGGGATATTAATTATGGTTGTGATAAATACTTGATCTAGTAAATGTTTAGTTAAAAGTTGTCAAATGGTGAATAAACAAATACCTTATTTTTTAGGACTCAGCTTGTGTCATGGTCTTAGTGATGTCTTCCTTACTTTCCCTTCCATCCTGGTAGTAGGCCATCCTTTAGGCCATCATTGGACCTTGTAACTATTATAATGTTAACACACTGTATCAATGTCTGTTGAATTTTCTCTCCCATGTAACTCCTGAAGGCAGGAATTATAACTTACTCATTCCTGTACTCTCAGGGCCCAGCAATAAGTAGTCATAAAAACTTTAGTAAGAGACTCCATAAATGGGCATGAAAGAGATTCAATGAGAGAATAGTCGATAGTTCCTTTGGGCTCCAGCATTCTATGAGCCTATGAAATAGGCTGCTGTATTACGAACCATAAATGAAACTAATTGACACAGAGCAGACCCATTAATCAAAATATAATGATAACAATGGCTTCAGTTTATTGAGTCCTTACTACATGCAAAGCAGTGTGCTAAGACATTGTATGAATCACCCCCATTTGATACCTACAAAATAACTCCAGGTACTAATTATTATCCCAATCTGACAGATGAGAACAGTGCAACTCTAAAAGATTAAATAAATCCCCAACCAGCAAGTGGCAGAAAGCCACAGTTCAAAGTCAAGGCTATTTGACACCAAAGCCCATACTCCTCTAACTCCTTAAAGAGGGGGAGGAATGAAAAGTAAGGTGATGTTGATAATTTATCATAGTTCTGTCTTCTAATCCTTCACAAAAGATACTTGGTATTTAAAGGAACAAAGACTATTCACAGCGGTTACAGAGCAACTAGTCCAGCCCCATCATTTTATAGCTAGAGAATCTGCAGCCCAAAGGGAACTATCCAGCCAGGCTCAGGTTTAGCTAGTAGAACAGCTTGCCTGTTCTACTATACCCAAGTATACTTACCCAAGTATCATGGCGGAGCTCCTCCTGTGCTGTAACTGGAGGGCTCTGTCACTTCACCCGGGGGTCTGCTCATATGCCACCTGCACAGGGCTTTTCCTGACCACATACCTGAAATAGCCTTTTTAAAAAATTTTTTTAATTTGACAGAGCGATCACAAGTAGGCAGAGAGGTAGGCAGAGAGAGGGGAGGAAGCAGGCTCCCCTCAGAGCAGAGAGCCCAATGGGAGCTCGATCCCAGGACCCTGAGATCATGACTTGAGCCAAAGGCAGAGGCCTTAACCCACTGAGCCACCCAGGCACCCCTGAAATAGCCTTCTTTACTCTTTGTCTTCTTATTCTGCCTTACTTTCCTTTATAACAGGCTCTACTTACATTATGTATTTATTGTTTCTTTTCCCCACTAGAATATAAGCTTTGTGAGGGTAAGACTTTTATTGCTGTCTCTCTGGAGCCTATACCAGTGTCTGACATATAAGGTACTCAATAAAATTCATTTGAATTAATGGTTAAACATTCCAGAGCATCAGTTGCAATGTAATTTTAATGCACTTAAACTTTTCCTTGGCCTTCAAAGCAGAAGGCGTTATTTTTGCCTTTATTTTCTCATATTTCTGGCCTAATATTTAGTGTATTACGTACATCTGTCTTCTCTCCGGATTTTCAGTTCACCTCAGAGAGGGACCTGGTCTTAGTCATCCATGCATCCCAAAACCTAGCACAGGACCTGGCATGAACAGCTGTTGAAAAATGCTTGGGGAGGCCCGTGTGGAGAGTGCGAAGAGTGATAGTCAAAGGCACTTTTGCTTGGTGATTTATTCTTAAGGCTCCATCAGCACGTGGAATGGAAGACCCCTCCCACTCTGATGCCTTGGGCAGCCAAGGCATTATACTCCTTCACTGCCTGCTCTGTCTGGAGGACCCGCACATCAATGCCTTGTTTCTCGAGGTACTCCACGGTCGACGGCGGCACCTAGGAAGAGGGAAAAAGATGAGTAAGTCAGGGAAAAGGCGCTTCTGGGTTTCCTTTCCTGCCATGAGGCAAGGGTTCTCTAGAAAATTGGACAATGACAACAGTCACTACTCGATCACCCAGCACGTCACCGTCCAAAATTTGACAGGGAGCCCCAAGGATTCAACAAGGCTTCTAAGAAGTTGACAGAAGCGTCATGCATGCACAAAGCTTAGGTGAAATGGAAATGGGAAATAATGGATTTTGGAGTCAGACAGTTTTGGATTTGAATCTTAGCAGTGTGACCTTGGGTAAGTGAATTCAATTCTCTGACCCTTTGTTTCCATGTCTGTAAATGGGGATAATAATACCTAGCTCACAGGGCTGGTATGAAAATGAATTCAGCTAAGGCATGGAAAATGTCAGTATGTTGAATGTCTGGGTCAGTCCAACCTGAATCTAAAGTCTAACTTTGCCCTATAGGCCAGCTCTCTAAAGTTTCTCAACCCCAGTTTCCTCCTCTATAAAATGGGGATAAAAATACACACAGGGTGGTGTGAGGATGGAGTTTACTCACAATGTATGGATGTTGCAGTTCAAATATCTCCTTAGAAAGGCCTTTCCTGACTGCTCCATTTAGAGCAGCCCCTCCTAAGTCACCATTGTCTTCACAGCATTTGTTACAATCTGAAATTGTCTACTCTTCTATTTTCCAAGAGGCCCATGAACCTTGTTTATCTTATGTATCTTGTCTCCAGTGCCTAGAAGAGCGTCTGACCCATAGAAGGCACTGAATAAATGTTTGTCAATTAATTTATATAAAAGATTCCCAATAGTGGCAACTATTACTGGATTTTTTTTTTTGTAACCTCTGGCTTGTGCTGAGTATTATTTTAAATAGATTTTAATTAGATTCTACCTCCTCAGAAAGAGCCCTGAAATATTTTTTAAATGCCCTATATTTTTCTGTGTTTGAACAATTTTATAATAACAACAGCCTTATAGAAAGGAATTATTTTAATGGGAAAAAATAGGTTAAAATATATATACATATAAATAAAGAGCACCTTTATTGGTAGGGAAGTAGATTTTAGGACATTTATATAAAGGAGAGAATGAGGTAGATCTCTGTATACTTATGCGAAGGGCTGCCCACATGTACAGTGTGATCCTATTTATGTAAAAACACTTAAAAGTGTATACATGTGTATCTGTATGCATAAGAGTATATATTTGCAGCTGCATGGAGCAACAGACATTGAATTTGGAGATGGGAATAGGGATCTTTCACTTTTCTACTTCAACATTTCTACATCAACTGTTTTGCAATAAGTATGTATTATTTCTGTAAATACAATAAAAATAAGTATTTTTTCTGAAAGGGGAAAAATGCATAACTTGACTGTGTTCAAGGATAAAAAGGAAAGGATAAAAAGTACTATAAAAATTTGAAGTACTAAAAAAAATGTGAAGTATTGTGAAAATCTAAAGAACCAAATATTGATAGGTATAGAGCTTGAGAATTCCAGGTGAAGAATTTCTGAAAAATAGTTGAAACAGAGGCGCCCAGGTGGCTCAACTGGTTAAGTGACTGCTATCAGCTCAGGTCATGATCCTGGAATCCCGGGATCGAGTCCCAAATTGGGCTCTCTGCTTGGCAGGGAGTCTGCTTCTCCCTCTGACCCTCCCTCTTCTCATGCTCTCTCTCGCTCTCTCTCACATTCTCTCTCTCAAATAACATCTAAAAAAAATATGAAAAAAAAAATAGTTGAAACAACACAGGCCTAGGGTTGGATAGGGACAAGAGACTCCAGCCCTGATGAGGAAGAGTACTAGGTAGCATCCCTTATTTTATCCTGGGCCATCCACTGGCTCAGCAAAATGAGGGTGCATGATATATTAAGAAGAGCTTCCAAGAAGGACATATTAGTAAGATAATGGTCCAGGAGGTCACCAACTGTCCTCAGGAATGCTGTGCTCACCAATACCTACCTTCAAGGCCTCACTCATCCCTCGGCCAATCACAAGGGTCTGTACACCTTTCTTGACAACTTCCTCCACATCTGCAGGCTGCACACCAGGAGAATGCTGAATGTGGAAAGAGAAAGTATACCAGCTACCTGTTCTTTTAACATTGCTTTGCATTCTTGGGGGATTCACTCATTCACCTATTAATTCACTGAGAAAATGTTTACTGAGGTTTATTTTGTGCCAAGCATCATTCAGGGCCCTGGGAATAATAGAAGATTCAATGCCTTAAGGAATGCTAAGTCTAATGAAAAATATAGGAGACTAAAAAGAAATGTCAATAGTTTTACAAGTGCTACAAGAACATTAGTTCAGGATGTTGTCAGAACACAGAGAAAGAGCACCTCATTCAGACCTGGAGAGTCGGGACAAACGGTCAGGGAAGCATCCCAGAGGAGGTAAGCTGAGATGCAAGCTGAGGCCTAAAGGACAAATGGGAATTAGCCAGGTTAAAGGAAATCAGTGGAATAAAGCATTCCAAGCACAGGGACTAGCATGAACAAAGGCTCAGAGGGAAGAAAAACCCGGAGATTGAAAGGTAGTTCAGTATGGCTGGAGAGAGAGGTGAGAGAGTGGAAAGAGAGAGGGTAGGAGAAGAAAGCACTTCACACCAAGCCAAAATTTGGAGCTTTGGAGAGATTTCATAAGAATCAACCTTTTTCTGAGCTCCTTTTCCACTTAACTCCAAAAAACAATTGTTGCAGGTGCCTGGGTTGCTCAGTGGTTAAAGCCTCTGCCTTCGGCTCAGGTCATGATCTCAGGGTCCTGGGATCGAGTCCCGCATCGAGCTCTCTGCTCATCAGGGAGCCTGCCTCCTCCTGTCTCTCTCTGCCTGCCTCTCTGCCTACTTGTGATCTGTCAAATAAATTAAAAAAAAAAAAAAACTGTTGCTTTAAAACCTGTCACTTCATAAAGTCTTGCCAAATTCTCCCAGGGATATTAAAGATAAGCTGTTTAATAACATTAATCCAACATTAAAGGATGGTGACATCCGAGTTGCTTCCACTGCAGCAAATGGTAAAGTGGGAGTTTAGTAAATACCAGCCCAAACACTGGGTTTCACCTATTATAACATATCTGTGCATGGATGACACTCTGGGTACTGAAGCTCAAAGACCAAAGCCCTCCTTCCCTGATTTGTCTGTCTATATCATTTCATTCAGTCAAGAGGTATTTACTGTACACTTACTCTCTACCAGGCTATATACTCAATACTGGAAATACTGAGATAAGCCAAATAGTCCCGAGTTTTAGTGAGGTACGATTAGTGATTGCGTGGAAATAGTTACAATAGGATGAGATAAAGTAGAGTCAAAGGTTTCAGAAGAACGAGTGAGTAAATATGAGTGAGAAGTTGTCATGTATGACATGCTATTTTAATTGGGTCTTTAAGTATGAGCAGAAAGAACTATGCCTTGATGCAGTGGTCGTGGAAGGGGGTACATTCTAAGCACAGCTAGACATGGTATAAAGAAAGAACTGAAGGGGCGCCTGTGTGGCTCAGTGGGTTAAAGCTTCTGCCTTTGGCTCAGGTCATGATCCCAGGGTCCTGGGATCGAGCCCCGCATTGGGCTCTCTGCTCATCGGGGAGCCTGCTTCCTCCTCTCTCTGTCTGCCTCTCTGCCTACTTGTGATATCTCTCTCTGTCAAATAAATAAATAAAATCTTAAAAAAAAAAAAAAAGAAAACTGAAAATGTTATGAAGACAACAAATGTACCAAAGAAAGAAGAGTTTTTCAGTTTTGAAAGATGACAGAGGAGATAGGAATGAAATTTATGTATTTATAAAGGTAAAAGGAAAGTAAATGAGTCTTTTCATTAAATCCTGAAATATCTTAACATGTTTATAGTTACAGTTTTCATAATACATGTATAGAAATTGCTCCATGTGATCTCTACAGTGATCCTATAAAGTAGCACTAAAACATCCACTCTTGTTTTACAGATAAGGAAACTAAAATTCACAAAATATATACACATAGGCCAAGATACACAACTGTTAAGCGGTGGAGCTGGGATTTGAACTGAAACATGTTTAACTTTCAGCTTAATGAACTTCATTAGAATACTACAGTCCAGGGAGCATCATTTTTGACTCAAAAGAAATAAACCTACTGACCACATAGAGTTGTGCTTAGCCCAGTGCCTGGCCCATTGTATGTAGAATAATTGTTAGTTCAAGTGTGAACCTGAATCTTCCCTAGAACAATCTCTCTCTTTCTGTCTGTCATCTCTGACACACACATAAGCAAAAAAAAAAAAAAGAGAGAGAGAGAGAGGATACAGAATGGAATATTTGAAAAATGGTTGATTAATCCTCAAAAAGGAAGGAATGAAAAACATGAGGTCAAACAGAAAGCAAACAGCAAGGTGAAACTCTGAAACATAGCTATATCAATAATAACATTGGACTAAAGAGTTTCAGGCAAAGACTGTCTAGATTAAAAAGCAAGACCCAACTAAACACTTCTTACAAGGTAGGCACTTTAAAGACATGGGTTGAAGATGAATGGATAAAGAAGATGTGGTATATATATATACAATGGAATACTATGCAGCCATCAAAAGAAATGAAATCTTGCCATATGCAATGGCGTGGATGGAACTAGAGGGTATTATGCTTAGCAAAATAAGTCAATCAGAGAAAGACAATTATCATATGATCTCCCTGAAATGAGGAAGTGGAGATGCAACATGGGGGGGGGTTTGAGGCGTAGGAAAAGAATAAATGAAACAAGATGGGATCAGGAGGGAGACAAACCATAAGAGACTCTTAATGTCACAAAACAAACTGAGCGGGGTCGGGGGGGGGGGGTTATGGGCATTGGGGAGGGTATATGCTATGGTGAGTGCTGTGAAGTGTGTAAACCTGGCGATTCACAGACCTGTACCCCTGGGGCTAATAATACATTATATGTTTATAAAATAAAATAAATAAAATAAAAAGACATGGGTTGAAAGTAAAACAATGAGAAAAGATAAAACACAAACACTAATAAAAAAGATGGTGTGTGAGTATATATATAGTTTGTTTTTTTTTAAGAGAGACTGGCGGGTGGGACCGAGAGAGAGGGAGAATCTTTAGCAGGCTCCACACCCAGTGCAAACCCCATGTGGGCTCAACCTCATGGCTGCAAGATAATGACCTGAGCCGAAATGGAGAATTGGATGCCCAACTAACTGGACCACCCAAGAGCCCTTGGTATGGTTATGAAAATATCAGATTATGTAGACCTTAGGACAATAAGTATCACTGCAGATAAAGAGTGTCATATGATGCTTAAAGGGCCAATTCATCAACAAAAATATAACAACTCCAAATCTGTATACTGTTAGTAAAAGACCTACAAAATATAAAGACAAAAATAACAGAACTAAGGGGAGAAATAGACACCACCACCATAGCTGGAAACCTTAACAACTCTCTTTCAGTTATTGGTAGAACAAATAGACAAAAAAGTCCTTAAGGAAATGGAAGATTTGAACAGCACTATCAATTTGTCCTAATAGATATTTCTGGGTTACTACACCCAACAACTGCAGAACACATATATTTTCCTGAATACATGGAACATTCACTAAGACAGACTAAAAGGCCCCATAATTTAAATCTCAGTAAGTTTCAAAGAAATGAAATAATACAGAATATGTTACCTGACAAAATAGATTTAATTGTTTACAATAAGATATTTAGAAAAGCCACAAAATAATTGGAAATTGAACAAAGTATTTATAACCAAAGGACAAAAGAAAAAATATATCAAAATTTGTGGAATACAACCAAATATACTTAGAGGGATATTTATCACTTTAAATATTTATAGAAAAAAATGGCCTAAAATCAATGGTCTAAACTCCACTTAAAAAAGCTAGAAAAGGAGTGGCTGAGTGGCTCAGTTGTTAAGCATCTGTCTTCAGCTCAGCTCATGATCCCAGGGTTCTGGGTTCAAGCCCCGCATCAGGCTGCCTGCTCAGTGGGAAGCCTCCTCCCTCTCCCACTTCCCCTGCTTGTATTCCCTCGCTCGCTGAGTCTCTCTCTGTCATACAAATAAATAAAATATTTTAAAAATAATAAAAAATAAAAAGCTTGAAAAAGAAAAGCAAATCATATCCAAAGTAAGTAGAAGACAGAAAATAATGGATATATGTGTACAGATAAATGAAATGGGAACTAATTCAGAAAATCAACAAGGTCAAAACTTGATTTTTTGTTGTTGTTTTAAAGATTTTATTTATTTGACAGAGAGAGACAGTGAGAGAGGGAACACAAGCAGGGGAAGTGCAAGAGAGAGAAACAGGCTTCCCACTGAGCAGGGAGCTGGATGAGGAGCCCGGTCCCAGGACACTGGGATCATGACCTGAATCGAAGGCAGACACTTAACGACTGAGCCAACCAGATGCCCCAAAACTTGATTCTTTGAAAAGATGAATAAAATTGATAAAACCTTTGAAAGACTGATCAGGAAAAAAAGAGAAGACATAAATCATAAATATCAAGAATTAAGGGGACATCACTACAGATCCTACAGATATTAGAATAACACTAATAAGCATGACATGAAATGGACAAATTCCTTGAGCAACACAATTTATAAAAAATACATAAGAAATAGAAAATCTGAGTCCTATAGCTGTTAGAAATTTAATTTATAATTTATTTTTTTAAAAAGATCTATTTACTTGAGAGAGAGAGTGTGCATGAGCAGGGGGAGGGGTCGGAGGAGGGGTAGAGAGAATCCTCAAGCAGGGAGCTGGATGCCCAGAGCTCCATCCCAGGATCCTGGGATCATGACCAGAGTAGAAATCAAGAGTTGGCCACTTAACTGACAGCCACTAAGGCACACCCAATTTATAATTTAAAACCTTTCTAGGTTTTAAAGAAAAAATTCTAGGCACGTATGACTTCTTTGGTGAATTTTCTTTTAAATATTTAATGAAAATCCTCAAGAAAACATTAAAAAATCCAAGGTTGATTCAACATTGAAAAATCAATGTAGTTCACCATAAAGAAGAAAAAAGGTAAATTATCTCAACTGATGCATAAAAAGCATTTAACTAAG